CGGCGGCGACATCTCTGAACAGAGGCTGGCCGACATTGAGGAAGAAAAGAGACTAACCAAGGTTTACACAACACCTCTTACTGCTGCGGAGAAGGGTAGCTGGAAGCATTCGACAAAGGAAGCCGGTGAGCAATTCTTTGCTGCAAGAGAGAAACCTGACAACAACACACAACCGAAAGCCACACCCAGGCAACCACCGCCTCCACCACCGGCAGATGAGGAACAACAGAAAATGCCGGCAAGTGTGACACCTAATTTACTTTGCAAAGAAGTGACACACCTGGTACAGAATGCTTCGTTTATCGACAAGCACAAGTCGAAAGGTGCTCCCATTGCTATGATGGCTTTTGCGACTGTGATTGTGGACAAGGTACTACGTTCAAACGATGACTCTCTGTTCCATCGACACTTTCAGGGAATCACTACCGTTGTCCCAGATGCCGGGGAAGTCGAGCCTTGGTATCACTCTATCGTTGGTCAAAAACTGCTTGTGGTGGACTGGAACCGAATTGGTATTGAGGTGCCATGCCCTGATGCTAACTGCGAGGGGTTGTTAAAGAACGAAAGGACCAAGTTCTCGAAGAATAAGACACTCTTCCCCATCTTTGGGATCGATGGAGCCCCTAGCTGGTGTATGGTAATGATTATGAAGTGTCCATGCTGCCAGAGAGGATTTGATGCGAATGCCGCTGAGGTGTTGATAGCAATCCCACCGCATGCATCTTTGCTATACCCAGTCGAATCCAAATATGCCCTTTCTCGAACCAGTCACCTCTCCAGAACAGCTACAGAAGTCTTCTCTTCCATCATGCTAACATATGCTAATGGAGAACTATGCAGTCGCTTGATCTACAATGCAATAAATCGCGACTTTCTCCAAAGAGTATCTTCCTATTATTCGATGATTAACTACAAAAAGAAGCAGTCGGCAACGTTCCAAGCACGACCTTACATCCTCAAAGATGGACAGTTCATTCGGCAATATCCTCCACACGGAGACACCATTCGCGATATCTTCGACGAGGCTGCTTCCACCAAGCGCAATCCATGGGGTATCAGCGATAAAGATAGACACACCAGGGAGATCCAAAGTGTGACATGCGTCGATGGTATCTTTTGTCAAGACCACACATTTCAAGCAGTGAAGAATTACCAAAAGAGTCTTGGAGCAGTAGCTGTTTGGGATGCTGCCACCTCTACTGGTGAGATTGCCTCTGCTGTTTTGGTTCCCTCCACGAAAACCTTGCACTTCGCCCATGCTGCCAAGCAACTTGCCACAAGAGAAAGCTTCACTCCTAAGGTCATGTACAGTGATACTTGGCCAAACAAGGACGATTACTGGGAGTCGCTCTTTCCAGACATCCAAGGTAGGCTTGGCCTGTTCCATTTTGAAAAAAGAATCATTGAGACGCTTAGGAAGAACCACATCGATTACATGGAGGCCATCAACGGTCTCTTGCACTGCTTGTACGTTTACTCACCAGGTGATTATGAGAACCTTCTTTGTGCTTTGAGAGATGGGTCCATTGGTAGACGGTATTCGACTGGTGACATCGCGGATCTGCGTGCCTCGAAGCAATTCCGTGACCGGTACTCCAAGTTTCTTCGAAAGCAAATGAGGGAACCGCAGACTATGGTTCAGCTTTTGGATGATTGGTTCTGCCGGTACAAGGTGACCTCATCTGATAATGCCCGTCCTGCAAAGGGAAGGCTTGATCCAGTGAGGAAGATTACCTTGTTTACCCCTGACACAAAAACAGCTGTGAAGAACTGCAAGGAAAAGGCGCAACACATTAGTGATCCACTCCCTCTGGAACAGATGTACGATGCCATCAAGCCAAGTCCCAATGCAAAACACAAGCTCATCGAGTACCTTTCGAAGAGAGGAGAGTCCAAGCTGGAAGCCTTTCATGATCGATTTGCCCATTTTGCGAACTGTGGAATGAGGAAGACGCTATGTGACAATCTCAATCTGTGTGGGACAGCACGATACAACCTTGCCATTAGACACAAGCGGGCTCTTCTTACCTTGCAAGATGATGAAAGAAGAGTCATTCCATCAGGTTGGGAAAAGGTGGTGCCATTCTGGAATCATTCGGAGCTCGCATTTGTCAATAAGCTGGCGGCAGCCGCTGGTGTCATCGTCCCTTTCCCAAAGATTGAAGCATTGCCTGCAGATAATGGTGAGCGCTTTTTCTCTGAATATTTCGATACTATTAAACAACAACAATACAATGGGGACCATTGCGTTTGCCTTACATGCGATCAAACAGCGATGCTACCATCGCCAGCACCGGCACCGGCAGCACCAACCGTCAATTTGAATTCAAATACACCAGCTACAGAAACAGCAACCGACAATGGTTCAGTTAGAGTCAACAATCTAAATACGAACCGTCGGCCGCCAGTTGTACCCGTGCACCAACAACAACCGGTGCACCAACAACAACCGGTGCACCAACAACAACCGGTGCAACAACAACAATTTCCAGCAATCATGCCACGAGCAACACAACCATTCCCATTAACTTACCAAATGCCCTACTTCCAGCCAATCCTACCTGCTTTCCCAACCTACTACCGACCACCCTTGAGAGGTTGTTGCGAGCGTTACAGGGGATGGTTGCTTCGGAGAGTTGGAAGGCCACCACATGATGCTCATTGTCGCCACCGAAATTTTATAAACGGGTATTCGCTTGGCGGGGGAGGATAATGAAAGGAGCAGATGAGAAGGATGTTTGGAGGTTAGACTACTTTACACGAATAAAATAGTTTGAATCACTGCTGACACTTTTGCGACTTTTCTTGGTTAGAGGTGCGGTGTTAAGACTTGAAGATTTAATGAAACTCCCCATTTTCCTGCCAAACCCCCTCGTTTCTATAAGTAAGTTGTGGCATGCGAAAGAAGAATGGTGACGTACGTGTCATTCACTGCGGGAATCTAGAATCTAACCCTCAACCTCCTCTCTCTTCTCCTCCCCTCCTCCCCCCCTCCTGGGTGCCTAACCCCCCCTAAAAGTCCGCCCTGGGAGGGACCTGGGACCTGGCAAGCAACTTCAGACCTGGCAGCAGGACCCACACATGTATCATCCCTGGCTATCTACGATACTGCACATGGATGTCACTCCAGCGACCTCTTGCTTCTTCAATAAGCGTTCAGATCTCGACAAAGAAAAGCAACTTGTAGTAGCTGGGTAGCAATAAGCAAATCGGCACAGCCTGCCTACGAACTGAGACTCAATGCGATTAAAGATGATGACCACATGAATCTCTCTTGCACGTATAGCCCACTGCGAAAAACGCGACCTTTTGGTTGTAAAAAGCTCCTTTGCTACTCCTTTGCTGTGGTCGATGAACCATGGTCACTTTGCCAGACAAGGCTGCAATAACAACCTTCAGTTGCCGGCAACTCATCGGGCTGTTTGAAGCTCCAGATAGTGCTGCAATGCTGCTGCCAAAAAGTGGTTTCGCAAGGTTCATCACGAGAAACCATTGTTCCAGAGTTCCACAGCCACACTTCCGTGCAACTCGAGTGTGCGTAGATAGTGCTCCGTGGTTGGAGTTCTTTGCTCAGTAGAAATTCTGTTTTTACTAAAGCCCCTCAGTTAACGATTTATCTTTCAATGACTTGTGACCCAAAAACTTCCCCCAAGGTCATTGAAAAATGCCTTCGTTGAAAGTGTGTTAACTCGTGCACCTTTGCTCTCGACCAATTAGGGTTTCAGATAAGGGTTGGACTCCTACATGTACAACACCTCCTTTTCGAAGTGGACTCGCGTTCCACAGGCTACCGTACGGTATGGATGGCAAGCAAAGACTTGCATGTAGACTCTAGTCAATCTCATCTTCAAGAAAACGTAGAGGCGATCATCATCTGGCTGTGCATTGAAAACTTGTAGCTGCATTGTTGGCAGAGCTTGGGCGGATGTGACAGATCCGCCCTCGCTCCAGTTGACTCCGCCATCTACTGGCTGGCTTGTAAGTACCACCAGTGATAGCAAGTCAATGCAATCCAGCAAAACACAGACCCATCTAGCTAGCATGTAGCGATTCCGCGTCTCGCTTTGATAGGATCAACTGAGTTCCGTCTTCCACATCTGGGAGTAAAATAAAATGCAACCCAAGTGGTGCCACAAGTAGACTACTACAGCGTCATTCCCCATGGTTGACCGAGTGGTTGCATCCGCTATACCAGCAGCATACCGGGTATGCTCAGCCAGCATTGGTTCTTCCAGTCAGTGTACCGTATGATGTGTGAGTCCGCCTCTATCATCAACGGAATACAATACTATACTGTATCATGGATCATTCGTGGTGGTACCGGTGGGAGTTGGTTTCGCGTCACACGGTAGATCGTGCACTACAAGATGCTCGAGTGTTTTTACGAGCAGGCAAGAGAGACAGCATATTTCCGTGCTTATCCAAAACACACCGAGTCGAGTCATGGTTCTTGGTTGGGCTTAATGATGTTGTTGTGTGATCTTCAACTTACAAGACGTCTCTCGAGATCTCAAGATCTCAAAGAAGCAAGTCCGAGGAAACAACGTCGCAAAAAGGATTTTTGCAGTTAGCCAACCTTAAAAGTCCAATGTCTTCCGGGCAATAATTCTATTGAAACCAGGGAGGTTTGTGAGTGTTTGTGCTAGCATAGTCACCCATTGGGATAACCAATGACGGGCACAATGGCTTCAGTTAATGGAACAAAAAGTCAGCAAAAGTTAAACTTACTAAATCTTGGGTTTCTTTCATTTAAGATAGTGTCTGTCGATGAAGAAGGGCTTTGCTTAAAAACTAGGACAAAGAAGAAGTGTCAGTTAAAGTGACTGTGTCTCTTCGGTGGTCGCATCTCATTTTACATTGTTTGTACCAATCCTACGGTCATTTGCGTAGAAACAAAGGTTCGCTCTGAATATTACAGCCCCCTCCTAAATAACGAAAGAAATAACCATTGTGCACCAAACAGTACACTTCGAGTGGGAGCTTCACGCAACGCCCATCTTGCCAAAATCCATCCATCCGGTACAAACAAACAAACGTAAAGCATTCCACTTACTTGTTCCTCTTTTTTGTTGTTGCCCAGACTCGACTGATATCGTCCCACAATTTTGTGTTCCTTTGCCTCCACAAAAGGATACCCTCTCCACTCACAAATATCGTGGCCGAATATCTTTCAACTCCCTCTCCTCTCCCAACACATAATCAAAAAGATAAAGATGAACTCTATCATGATGAGCCACAACAGCAACGACTTGACGACGAACGAGAGCAACAACGACATGTTCCTGAATGACGAAAGCATTCGTCTGGATGCCTCCATGGCATCCCAGTTTGACCCCGAAGACGCAGAGACCACCGAGGAATTGGTCCACTTGTACCGTCAAGTGTGGCAAAAGAAGGTTTCTCCTCTGTCTTATCAAGATGATACAGCAGTGGAAAAGAGCTTTGTCCGACGCACTCGTGCCAACACGGAAGATACCTTCACAGATGATGAAGAAGACGATGACGACTGTGGCTTTGACGAAGAACATGCCACTCCCGTGCCCTCCTCCAAGAAGAAGAAGAAGAGTCTATGGGGAGAATTGACCACCAGCATGCCTTCCAGCTCACTGGACTTGTCCACTTCCAGTTTGGTTCACCAATACCTCGAAGAACACAACAAGGAGAGTCAGTCCACGCTCTACAAGGCCATGGCCTCCAAAATCATGATTCCCACGGTCACATACATGGGACGCAAGCTTCATGCCGATGGTGCGGGCAGTGCTGCTTCTCCCCAAACTAGCCAAACTTCCACCACTCGTCTTTCTCTCCAGCACAAGCCAGAACCTCGTTCTTCCTTTGTGGCTCGCATGGGTCTCTCGTGGAGCAGCAGCAGTTCCTGCTCTGTCAGCAGCACTACTACTACGGGCAGTCTGATCAACGAGGAAGCCGAAGAAGATGCCAAGGACTACCTCAGCAACCTCAGCGATTCCGATTTCTCGCAATTAAAAGCCACACTGCGGGCACAAGGTGCTCTTACTGGCTTGTGCACCCAGCAACTCATGTACACTACTGCCACCACTGCTGTCAAGACTCCATCTCCCAAGCGACGACGACGATCCTCCAGTCAGCACAAGTGGGGACAATTGCCATTTTGTCCGTCTTTGGTCTCCGCCACGGCCGATTCTTCTGATGACGACGAAGAAGACGACGACATGCCAGATCATTTTGTCATCAGTCAAGAACGTGAGGATTGAAACAGCAACGAGCTCAACTGTACTGTACAATACCCAGTCTAGATATATATATAGCTATGTACAATAGAACATTTGATATTACTTCCCAACACAAAATATACATGTATCCTGTTTCACAATATAGCTAACTAGAATAAAGCTACTACCGGTACCAACAGACGGAAAGGAAGGTTGGCCATGGTCAACCCTCTCTACAAGTACTAGCTAGTACCCACTAGCTAGCCAGAGAAAGGGGCTTAATTGAGTTCGCTGATGCACGTAGACTCCCGCTCCCTCAAACCGGACTCGATTTTTTGATGTAGTTCTGCACGGGGGTCAGCGGAAGAACCAAGCGGCTTGGCGCATGTTTCGGCAAACTGCTCCAGCTTGCTCGCCAACAAGATATATTCGATCCCAAATCGGCACAATACATGCATGTAGCTAGTTTGTTGCTTGATCTGGCTGACCATCCTGCTATTCGCTCCCCGGAACGATTAGTCATCATGCCATGTCTAGTACTGGCTGGCTGGCCAGCAACAAGGTGGTATACCGTACGGAATCCAGCAACACGCTACCGTAGATGCTGAGAGAGATACTTGGATCCTAAAAGTAGCCGTTCAAGTGTTACTCCGTACTACTGCTGGAAGTGGCGCACAACAATGGCGGGTATGGTACCACACCGGTTTGTAGTTGTGCGGTGAAACTTGATACACGATCCATATCTTTCCCACTCGCTCTTTACAGGCCAATTTCGTTGCTTGGCAAGATTCAATCAGCCATCGGATAGAATCGAATCAATCCACCTCTCGATCGATCGTCAACGATCTTTTGTGAGCGGGAAGCAAGCAACCAAATCATTCCGTACGGCACATTGCCAGCCAGGGCCAGTCAAGGCAGCCTTGGTGAAGCCATTGCTCCAATTGGCTGAACTCGTGGGTGTTGCCGGTAGCTAATTCTCAGGCTGGCTACCACACGTTGCTGGTGGCAAGGATCCATCCGTCCTGCAGCTAGCTAGGTGTAGCCATGCCCGGCAATGGATCTGCGGGGAGCCAGCGCCAAAGGATTGCAGTTTCGATGTTTTGTTGGAACATTTGACAAAGAGATCCTGGTGTCTACCTAGCTAGCTATCAAGGTGACTTCGGCTCGAAGGATCAGGCCAAAGCCTTTATTACAAACAGCCAGCCAGAGCAAAGTCAAGAACTTTTCTCTTCGACGAGGAGCGAGCTCTTGCTTGTACCGAACTATACAAAGTAGGCGACTTGACTGACTCTGCAGGTAGGTGGTACTTTTATTACAGTATGACAGAAAATGCATTATGTCGCTTATTAGCAGTCCCTTCGCTTTCTATGGTACAATTAGTTGTGTGATTGGTGGTCTGCATGATCACAGCACCATTCGATCCAGACTGAGGCCAACTCCCAGTCCATGAGGCTTGAGTTGTTGGCCGTCACGCTGCAGTAGGTCTGCCCGATCATAACTGACAGGGCTAATGGTGGTGCAGGACATGCACATGACGCACGACATGCCGTGCAAGCAAATAAGATTGGCTTGACAGACACTGCACTCAGCAACGATTGTGCTAGGTGTGCTAGATGATCTTGAAGAGCAGTCTAGACAGTCGACTTGCAGGGCCTTTCTCGTTCGTTCACGGGTGCCAATGTAAGGAACTAGCAATCCTCCACCGATATCCATCAGTGGATACCCTTCCTCGCTAACTTCAATTTGCACCCGTGTGATGGCTGCATTCTTCTTCGGCTTCGTGTCCGGCAGGGTGCTTCTGGTACCGGAGGTGCTCCTAGCTGGGCCTTGCTGCGCTTGACTGCTACCATGTGCCGGGTCGTCTTTGGGGGAGGATGTGCTGTAAGAGTCCCGAAGCCCGTCTGTTCTCACTTCCACTGTGACGAAACTACGTCTTCTTCCGTCGGTACTGCTTTTCTTGCTGATAGGATGAGTCTTCTTGGGTAGTACCTGATCATGGCCACTACTTGCTGTGCTCGCTGATTGGATGGGAGAGATCTTGGCTGGCTTTGCCTCTGCATGCTGGCATGTTCCCACCTTTTCAGATGGATGTTCCCCTTGACCTTGATTTACCTGCCTTGTCTTTCGAGGACAATGGTCTAGGCTCCACATGGGCAACAGTGCATCGCTGCAGGTATTGAACCTGGAAATGACCTTCAGAGTTGTTTCCATGGGCGGATACAGAGAAGCCCCATCGCATCGCAGCTTTAGATTGGAAATGTCATGGTTCTCACCTTGCCAGCAAACGCAGTAGCTTGACGAACAAGCATGGTTGCTGATGTTAGGAGTAGAACATGACATGGGCATGATGAGCATGGCGGTTGCTGATACCTAGCTAACTGGGTAAGTTTGCTTCTTGAAAGAAGGATGCTTGCACAACAATGAGAAGAGAGGGGAGCTTTTGAGGTGCTTTTGAATTGTGATTTGAAAGAGAAGGGCCGAATCTTTTTCGCTTCATCAAAGCCTCAAAAGTGTTTGGCCTTGCTTTAGTACTCTTCAGTCATGGTTCATAAATCGACCACGCGATGCACTGTTGAACGTGTTGAATGTGTAATTTGTGAAACACAGCTTAGGCATTCTCCAAACAGCTATTTTAATACCTACTCCAGTACTGAAACTGAGTTACTGATTCTATTGAATACTCAGTACTCAGTACCTGTATTTATTTATTGAATGGTCAAAGAGGAGAACTCCTTTGTTTCGCGTGGTGGGGGAGAGATAGATCATACTCTAGCACTTACTCGAGTGCTTAAACCTTTGTGACAGGTGAAAACTACCTTAAAATGCCTGAAAGTGTCAGTGGGTCACCTTTTCGTGAAGTATGCATTACTTTCTGTTCCCCCAAAGAGCCTATCTACTGCGTAAACGAGTGTACATCAAATAAATTTTAACCACCAAAAACCAAAACCATAATTCGAGCATCTACGATGCATGCGGATACAGTAGTCAACATCGTACCGGTAGCCATGTACCTGGTACTGTACCCATCATGAGACCATGAGAGCGAGCCAAAGGAAGGTTGCAACAGAAGCTCCAGCCTGCAGTTTTTGGCAACATTAGAAGAGAATAGACCAAACTCCGTGGCACTGATGGATGACCTCCTCTTCAATTATTAATTGCTTGCCTGTTGCCAGGGAGCCAACGGGCTGCCACTGCCAACTAGGTACTTCCATTTCGGCTACATGTAGATTGCTCGACCTTGGTACGAGATAAGGTCTCGAGGAGTTTCCTGGCCCACTTATTTGTTGGTTGCAGGATCTAAATTGAGTTGGTTCGAGCCAGCTGCTGTCCAGATATCATTGTTCCACAAACTGCCGGTGGTGGTACTAGTAGTATCATACTGCCTTGAATCTTGAATGATGGCATCATCAGATTCTAGACTATCTTTGAAATTGCAATGGTGCTCGGTGCGTTTGGCCTTTACTGAGATGAACAAAGCGAACCTGAATGTGGATGCCGCTCGTTAAAGAACGCAGGGTGCCTGTACTTGAGTATTTCTCCTCAAAGAACCCACTACCCTCCCCTGTTCTTGGAAACAAGGCTCTTCCTTCGCGAGCGGTGGTCGCTTGCACCATCTGTACCACCACTACTAGCTAGCTAGAGCTACTGGTACCACCACCTGGTAGCCACTAAAATAGTAAAATAGTACTCCGGAGTAGAGTTGGAGTACGAGTCGAGCTAGCTAGCTACATTTATTTAGCCAAACCGAGGCTGTGTTGAAGGTGTAGCTAGCTAGCTAGCTGTTGAACTACATGTACATTTACCAGCTATGTATCCATTTCGCAACCTCAGAAGATAATAAATAATAATGGCCCACTGCCCCAGCAGCTTCTCTCGCTTCGAATCCGAAACTTCCGCTTAGTGGACACGATGTTCGGTTTCGTCTTTCACCAAAGTGTGTTCCACCAGCTGTTCCACCAAGCCGTGGGAGTTGTAAGGGCCATCTCGATGATCCAGCAGGCGAGGGGTGACCTTAAATCGTTCTACTTGGCTCACTGCTTGCTGTTACTCCCTCTCTCTTGTTTTGCCCAGCAACCCATTGATTGCCATTTTAGGCCTCAAACAACCCGGGGTGCCAGCCCCATTGCAGCTAGAGAAGCTCGCTCGCCCGTTGTCTGGTTGTGCTTGGCTTTTGCCTTGCAGCCTTGCAGCAAGCCAGCCTTGTGCTCAAGCTGCTGGGGCGCGAGTTCTGGTCTTGAGGATGCCGGTAGTAGGTGACGAGGAATTGGTTGTCAGCCAGACCTGACACACAGGCAAGTGACATGATCATGGATGCACTAGGTTCTGCGTTTTCCAGGCGAGAAACACCACTGCTCAACTTGGTTGAAGCAAGCTGGCTACCCAAAGGGCGAATTTCATCCCGTGTTCCCAAGCTACCGTGCCTGTTGACATTGCGTTCGGTGCACCCGGCTAGCAAGCTTACGCGTCTCCATGGCTGCTTCCCTCGATGCAGACTTGACGAATGCAAGTTGGCAATCTGGAGACACCGAGAGGGGAGAGGGTGGAAAAAAGGTGACGGGGTGACGATGGCGTGCTTTCTCTCTGTTCTGTGTTTCACGACTTAATTTCCCAGGTCCATTTAATCTTTAAGTACCGTATCGGTGTACGGTACCGGGACCGTACCACTTGCAGCAAGGAGCTAGGAATTCAATCCAATCTTCCTCAAAACGAGTTACTGTTACCATTTCCCTCCTCCTCCCCACCCACACATACCGTACCTTACATCTTAGGAGACAGGCTCCTCGCGGTTCGTTGGTAGCCACGCCGAGGACTTCCAAGTTCAGGCCAGTTCCTATGACCGTCAATTGTCCCATACGGTATTCAATTAGTTCGAACCAGGCAGCAGTGCTTGATCAAGGTGGAGACCTGCCGAGGTCGATCATCGTAGTCTCAACAGCAGACGTTCTTTTCTCTTTTAGACTACCTTCTTCCTGAGTAATTTCATTTGGTTTGGTGCTATCAAGATGCTGAATTATCACCAGGTTCCCACAAGTGACAACTTGGGGCAACATACAGCAAATGAAAATTTCGAAATCGATGTCGAAGCGCTGGACCACGCAGCAGCTCCCTGCTCTGAGGTGGCTGCCACTAGTACAGCGGTTGCAAACGATCCGAGATTGTGGTCCATATCCTACCAGCAGCTTCTGGATATCGAAAGTCTGGCGAAGCAAATGTTTGGATACTGCGGATTTCGACGATTGTCTATGCGGACCGTGAATGATGCAATCATTATCCCAAGATGCCGCGAAACCGGTACTTCCTATGCCCTCGCATTGAATCCACAAGGCCTCCAAGTGGATGCGTTTATAACTCATTCTTGGTGCGAACCATTTCATGAATTTGTGAATTCGATTCGCAATGCGTTTCGCCCGTTTACTTGTAAACCAAATCTATGGGTATGTGCGTTTGCAATGGTGCAGGGAGATCAGGCATACACCGCACAGCAGTTGAATGTCCCGCTGAGCGATTCTCCTTTTATTATGGCACTCAAGCATGCGTCTTGGTTTGTTGTGGTCAGGAACTCCAGGACGGATCTGTACAGCCGGATCTGGTGTGTGTGTGAGCTCATGTTTGCACGCCAATTTGGCTTTACGGCCACTCACAAAACCATGGTGGTAGGACCCAACAAATTTTCTCATCTGAGGACGAGTTGCCGTGACGCGGAGGCTACCAACCCCTTGGACAAACAACGAATACTTTCTACAATACTAGAAACTGAAAACGGCTTGGAAGAAATTGATGAACTTGTTTCGAGCTACCGGATGCACCATGGTGGGGATGCCTCGGAGTCATTCGGTGTGAAGCAATTGTTGTTCATGGTTTGGGCCATTATAATAGTTATCTTGGCTGGATATGGCGCCCTGCGTGGACGTGACGATTCTGGGTCAAAGCCAGCTGCATACTACTTGTCAAGAACTGACGACGAACTCTGGAACATTGCAACTACTCAATTTATTGGAAAGTATTGTTACATTCTGATTTCAGACGGGGGCACGGCGTGCCATTACTACGCCAAAGGTCGCCCTTTGACTTACAATGGCATACCCGTGAACAAAGATGGTTTAGGCACAGGATGCATCAAAGACAAGGCAGGTTCCTTTTGTTACTATCATGATCCAGCCTATAACTTGACTCAAGAGGAACGGAACTCCATGTGTACAAGCTCGTATGTCGCAAATGGGGCTGCACAGATTCGATATGGAATTCGTCATCAAAGGTGCAACGAAATTGGAGATCCGCTATAGCTAGCTAGGAAACTGAACTATGAAAGCAAAGAATCCAGTTGGCTGATTGCCCAAGTCGCCCTCGGGTGTTATATGCTGCAAGTGTCCTCCAGACTATGTTCGTCTCCTGTATGTAGGATCTCCTCGCCCACGAACTGAATCAAGCAAGTCGAGTCAAGTCCGTAGCAGGTCCTCTAGCGTGGGCAGCTGTTTGCGCACGTCCGAATCGACCAAATATGGTCTTTGTGGAGGACTAGCTAGCTGGCCGCATGTGAATAGGCATATATAGGGCAGGCCTGTACCGTACCAGTATGGGATGTGGCTGCCAGCAAAAGTCGCGTTGCTTGCGGATGCGGCTTGATCTTGTCGACCCTTTTCATTAAAGCATTTTACGTGTACCGTACGCTTACCGTAGAAGCTTGGGCAAGCTTGGCTGGTCTGGCACAAAGAGCAAAGATTCCTCCCCTAAACGAACAGCTCACAACTAATTGAATTCCAACTCGAGCACACCTCGATGGCACCGATGCATTTCGGTCAGTGGATCATCATGATTGCTGGCCAGAGGCTTACTCGTTTTTCTTGTCCAGGACGGATAGATCACGATTGATTGAATTCCAAGTCGAGCAGGTCACGTCATGCATTGCATTGCGGTTGGGAGGGAAAAACCAAACCCAAAACAGAGACGTCCTCGTGCTACGCCACGCAACCCTCACAGACACAGAAAGCTACACAAATCTCAACCCGCCAATATTCCATAAATAAAAATGCATTATCTAGTAACTAAAATCCTGATCAATACAAATTTCAGAATTGAATTCAATCGAATGATATCCACCACAAGCAAACCTAATATATATATAGAACCGATCTCCACTCCACTCCTTTCCTAGAGATGGATTGTGATTTTCCATCCATCCATCCACCATGTGAATTACCACTGTCTAAAAATGGACTTAGGCATCACCTTTCTTGTCTCCAGCTTCGGCAGCAGCCCGTTCTTCCTTACTTTCGGATTCACATTCCAACGCCATGAGAACGACATCTTCTACCAATTTGGCATCCTTGCATTTTTCCTGAATGGTTCCCACAATTTGTGCCAATGTCTTTTGATACGCCAGCCTCGCTTCGGCTTCACTGAGATAGTAAGATTGTCGTGTCTTTAAATCTTCCTTGAGTTTTTCCAATTGATGTTTGTACTCTTCCACATTGCGAATGAGATCGGCATTGGTGACATTGAGTTGTTTGGCGTGATCATTGAGGGCGGTAAAGGATGCACTGGCACTCGCATTGGCGCCCATGAGCTTTTGATTGTTGTCTTTCAAGCCTTTGAAATCTTTGCGCATTCCTTCATTTTGGCCCTTGAGTTTGGCCAATTCCTTGCGCAGATATTCGATAATTTTCGTACTTTCGTCAATCAAATTCTGTTGTTGCGCCGATTTCTTTTGACGTTCCTTGTCGTTCTTGTACTCTTCCCGCAGTTTTTGTTTATACGCTTCAATCTCGGCTTCGGCTGCTTCTCGGGCCGCTTCGACTTCCTTCATGCGGTTCAATTCCGCTTCTCGAACTTCTTCTTCCAGTTCATTCAGCTTTTGTTCCAGCTTGGGTGGGGTCCTCATCGTCGTTGCGTTAGTTACTTGCTTGGTTTGAGTAGAGATTGGGTGTGCTGTTTTATGGCTGGAGGGTTCTGGAGTTGTGCTTCCTTGCTTCCTTGGCGACCCGGTCTATTGATGAGGGAGTGGGTCTTGGTTGCATGGCGCCATGCCAGAACCGTGAGACACTGTGACCCATCGCCAATCCAATGTCGCGAAAGTGTTCCAGCGGAAGGAAGTTGGTCATGATGTCATGGTCGTGACTCGACTCAATTCAGCTCAGCCAGAAGAGCTGCCAGAACTATCATACCTGATACCGTTGTCACCTTACCAGTGTGCTGAATAACTACTAGTACTAGCTAGCTAGCTAGCTGGACTGCCTTGATCGTTCGAAGTCAAGGTACCGGCTGAACCGATACCATATAGGTCACTGCTTGTAGCAGAACAAGTTCTAGCTAGCTAGCTAGTGTCCTACGGTATTGTGGAAGCCGCT